CTATCAAGGTCAGTCATCGCACAACGTGGCAGTTACTGTGTACAATGTTCTCCTGGTTCTGCTCACTTCACTCAGCATCAATCCATACAAGCCCTTCCAGGTTTTTCTGAAATCCGTTTGCTCATCATTTCTTATAGCACAATAGAATTCCATTACATTCATATACTACAACTTGTTCAGCCATTCCTGGCCTCTTCCTTCTTAACCTGGCTCCTCGCTGCTCTCCAGGTCTGACTGACACTGTTTCCTTCTGGTTCTCTTATCTGTCTGACTGCTCCTTCTCAGTCTCCTTGGCTGGATCTTCATTCTGGTCTTGTCCATGGGTATCCCTCAAGGCCTTCTTTTCTTTTCCCTTTGTAATCCACACGATATTGCTTGGTGCTTTCGTCAACTCCCATGGCTTCAGTGATCATCTCTATGCAGATGATTCCCATATCTCTACCCCCCTAGTCTCCCTCCCAAGCTTGTCCTGCATCAGCAATTAGCTCTTGGCTATTACAAACTGGATGTCCCATTGGTATCCCAAACTCAGTAAGTCCAAAACAGAATTCCTCATATGTCCCTGAAAATCCTCCCCTCTTCCCACTTTCTCTGTTGCCATTGAGGTCACCACCATCCTCCCAGTTACCCAGGCTCACAACTTGGGGGTCATCTTCAACTTTTTTCTCACTGACCTCACATATGCAATCTCTTGTCAAATCTGGCCATTTTAGTCTTCACAGCATCTCTTATAGATATCTCCTTTTCTCCACTGACATAGCCACCATCTTAGTACACTTCCTTAATACCTTTCACCTGGATTTTTATGATAGCTTCCTAATTGGTCTCCCTGCCTCAAATCTCTCCCTGTTCCAAACCACCTTTCACTCGGCAGTCAAAGTGCCGGTCTGACCATGTCGCACAGCCCCCTCACTCACTAAATCCAGTGGCTCCCTATTGCCTCTGAGAATAAATCTAAACTCCTCTGTTTGGCATTTAAAGCTCTTTACACCCTGGCCCCTTCCTACCTTTCTAGTCTTCCAGTACTTTGCTCCCTTCTGAGCACTCTGCAATCCAAGAATGCTGGTCTACTTGCAATTTCTCTAACAAGATTCATACTTCACCTCCCTACTCCATGCCTTTGCACTGGCTGTCTTCCATGCCTGGAGTGCTCTGCTCTCTCCATTGCTCCCTCTTACTTTCCCTGGCTTCCTTCAAGACAGATCAAATCTCACCTTTGGCAAAAGGCTTCTTTCAGTCCCTCCCCCCAGCTGTGAGTGCTTTCCCTTTGAGATTACCTTTCAGCTACTCAATAAATATCTTGAATGTATCTATTTCCAGGTCATTTCCTCCATTAGACTGTAAGTTCCTTGAGGGTAAGGACTATCTTTTGCCTCTTTTTGTATCCCCAGGGTTTAGCACAGTGCCTGGCACATAATTGATGGATGTATCTAGTTGTTTATATGCTCAATCCCCCATTAGAGTGTAAGCTCCTTGAAGGCAGAGTGTGTTTTTACCTCTCCTATTCCCAGTGCTTGACACCTAGCAAGCACTTAATGAAAGTGTGTTGACTGACTGACTATACTAAATTACTCCCTGGCTAGAAAAGGTTTCCAGTAGAGGGCCTGATGACATATTGCATGTCTATCAGTTATCTGGGGACCTGCATCTGTGGCTCATTACCACCAGCCAGCAATGGATTCTTTAGGAGAGTTACTCACTACCCATGGCAAGGTCGTGAGCTTTAGCAATCAGTGGCTGCCTAAGGAAAAGGAGGCTCATTCAGAGTATCTAAGTGCTAATAGACTTCTAGCTGTAGTTGTCTCTATTTTGAAAAAGAGAAAGAGAACCGAGTCTCCGGGCTCTAGGACAGTGAGCTTGATTCTGACTCTTGGCAAAAATTGGCTGATCTAATTTTAAAGATTGCTTAGGGAATGTATAGGAAAGGCAGCAGGTCCTCATCAAGAGCAGGTGGTGCTACACTACACTAACCCCATCTCCTCTTTTAACAGGGTTTCTAGACTTGGTGAAAGTGCTAGATTTGGAGTCAGAGGGCCTGGGTTCAAATGCTGGTTTTGACACTTACCTGTGTGACTTTGGGCCAGTCTGTACACTTCTCTAGGCCTCAGTTTCTTCCTCTGTAAAATTAGGGAGTTGGACTAGATCGCCTTTGAGGTCCTTTCCGGCTCTAATGATGTGGACTTGTGCCTAGATTTTAGCAAAGCCTTCAACAAAACAAGATGAAAAGTTTGGCTTAGGCAATACTCTTGTTAAGTTGATTTGAAGCTGATGGGATGATTAGACCCAAGAGTCATTGATGGTTTGAGGTATATTTGAAAAGAGATCTCTAGTGGAATACCCCTGGGGACCTGTGCTGGATCTATTCAAATAATATAATAGGGTTCAATAACTTGGCTTCAAAATGACCACTTCATGAGTGCGAGATGGGAGACGGGTAGGTAGGCAAAAAAGCTCTGGGGATTTTAGCGGACTGCATATGCCGTATGAGTCAGTACAGTGGCACAGTAGCTGTTTTAAGAGAGGTGTAGGGGGCAGCTAGCTGGCGCAGTGGATAGAGCACCGGCCCTGGATTCAGGAGGACCTGAGTTCAAATCTGGCCTCAGACACATAACACTTACTAGCTGTGTGACCCTGGGCAAGTCACTTAACCCCATTGCCTAAAATAACAACAACAACGATGAAAAAAAGAGAGAGGTGTAATGATAGTTCCACCATCCCTTACCCTGGGCAGACCATGTCTGGAATGCCATATTCAGTTTGGGGCAGGGGAGGGGGTAGGTGCTACATTTTGGGAAGGATTTCGACAAGCTGCAATCATATGGTCAGTTTGTTCTGAATAATAATAACAATAATAACTAGCATTTACATAGCGTTTTCAAGTTTGCAAAGTGTTTACAAATATTATCCCATTTTTTTCCCTCACAACAACCCTATGTAGTAGAGGCTATTATTTTCCCCATTTTATAGTTGAGAAAACTGAGGCAGATAGAGGTTAAATGACTTGCCCAGGGTCACACAGCCAGTAAGTGTCATAGGCTGGATTTGAACTCAGGTTTTCCCATCTCCAAGTCCAACAGTGTGGCCACTATTCTACTTTAGTAGTCAGACTTTATGGTTTTCCATCTCCTGGTGACCAACCTTCTGGAGTTTCTCTGCACTTAGCTGGACTGGGCCTCAGGTGACAGATACACAGTTCATCCCTGGATTATTGCCAAAGCCTAGCCATCTTAGTGGGAAGGTGCTGCCAGAGCTGGAGTACCACTGGCATGGCCTTCATATCCGGGGCTCCCCTCCATGCCAACATTAAGTGTTGGGATGGGGTGGGCTGGCTTTAGGGAGAATTCCTTTCATAGTAGTGACACAAAGTTTATTGAAAGCATTGGGCACTTTAAAAATTCAAAATGGTGATCTTCAGCTCCATTTAAAGTGTGTGTGTGTGTGTGTGTGTGTACTTGCTTCATTCATTCATTTATTTATTTTTATTTTTTGCTTTTTGGTCTGAACCCATGCTTTCATTAGTAGGGGAACATTTAGTAAAGAAAGTCCTTCCACAGATGCATGTAGGCAACTCCTCTATAACTTAGTCTTAGAGACTGGAACCTGGAGATGTCTACTTGGTCAGAGTCACCTACCTGAACCCAGTCTTCCCATCTCTAAAATCATGCTTTCTCTCTCTCTCTCTCTCTCTCTCTCTCTCTCTCTCTCTCTCTCTCTCTCTCTCTCTCTCTCTCTCATCTCACAAAACTCCTTCAAAGTATTTGACCTTGGCTTGCTTTGGGAATCCTAACTGTAGGTCTCATGGGTCTGGGTGTTACTGACAAAGAACATTCCATCCCTGGAAATGGTCCTAGCACAGCTCATGGCCACAAAAAAACTTTACCCTGTGTCTGGAATGGACTTCCTCCTCTCCTCTGCCTCACAGAATCCTTCTCTTCCTTCAAGATGCAGTTCAAGCACCGCCTTCCTCAGGAACCCTTTTCCTGACCTCATCTGCTGCGGCTTCCCCCCAAATTACCTTGTATTTATTTGGTGTGTATATATATGTACATACATACATACATGCATCTGTAGCCATATGTAACTATACATATCTCTAACTCTATATACAACTTGCTATATAATTCTACATATACTTGTATCCCAAGCACTTGGCACATAGTAGGTGCTTTAACAAATGTTTGCTTGAATCTGGTTCAAATACCCAGATCTCTTTAGCAAGGAAGTGATATAAGTGGAAAGAAGCCCTGGATCTGGAATCAAGAGAACTTGGGTTCAAATCCTCTCCCTCCACCCCTTCCCATTCCCACCAACCATCAGTGCCCATGTCATGTCAACTGTAGGCATCACTTCATCTCCCTGGGTTCTCTGTAAAATGAGGTTATTGGACAAGATGTCTTTGGAGGTGCTTTCCAGCCTAAGGTCTATGGTCTCATGACTTCCCTCAACCACCTTCCCTGGACTCAGGCAGAGAGGTGGCCTGGGCCCTCTGTTGTAAGCCCCACTTGCCAAATCCCAAGAGGGAACAAAATCAAAGAAACCAGGAGAAGGGGAGGAAATTTTTATATAACTGAAAAACCAAAAATGACCCCAGAGAACTGATGGCAAAATGTGCCTGCCTTGAAGGGCCAATGCTTCCGGGACAGAATATCTACCTATTGCCTGACAAGGGCACATTATAGGGCATTATTGCTTAATTGTTTTTCTTTGTGACCAAGGAAGAGTTAAATTCCTTGGAGATTAGGAGAGGTCTTTCCAGAAATGACTGATTTAAAAACAACAGGTGTCAATGAGTTTATTCTCTACAAAAACTGACAAATATCTGAAGTTAAAAAAACAAAACCCACCAAAGATGCCAGCATGGCCTAGGGGGTCGGTCACTTTGCCTATTACCATAGGCACTGAGTATTTCTGCCTGATGCTATCAGAGCCATCCTTTCTAACAACTATATTGGACTCAAACCTTTTCCTTTTGCAGCAAAGGAATCATTTAGTTTCTGAAATCTGTTTCAGGCTTTTATTTCGGATGAATCAGGAAATGATACAGGCTTTATTCAAGAAATGAACTCATTATTCAAGGCCCAGAATCTTTTCACAGGGCAATGAAATAGTCAATGTGAACACAGTTGCAACAATGCTCAGTAGCTATGGCAAACCACACCACAGTTGACAAGTTTCTATTGGACTAGACAAATACACTACTAAAATTTTAATTGTACCAACATTTTTATATATGCAAAGAGCAAGAAATATACTTGTTATCTCAGCCATGCTTAAAAACAGTCACTTTTGTACCTGCCTGGGTACGGAATTTCATCTCTCCTGAAATTAAAATCGAAGCATTTGCAGCTCATTTCAGTGGGCCAAGCTGGCCCCCAAATCAATCTGTCAATTGCTTTGAGTCCAATTTCTTAAACAGCTCCACTGTGTGCATAAGCAAACACTCCCTGATGTACAAATACATATCAGACATTTGCCGGTTCACGAGTTTCATCTTCTTGTTTTTGTCTGCTTAATCAGCCCTCTTCCCAAAGGTGCAAAAATAAAGGATGGCAGAAAATTTAAAAGGAAGGTAGCATTTGTTCCTTCTCACTAAGAAGAAATGGCTTTGCAAGGCTGTTATTTGTTTTTCTTAAATGACAGCGTTTTCTAAGAGAAACTCCTAGGACATTTCCACAAGTCCTCTGAGGGAAAATTAAGGGAGTATGAATACCAAAAACCAATTACTCTATGGCCACTTGGGCAAATTCGAACGAAGGTGAAACCCCAATGGTCCTTCAATAATCCTTTCCAAGAGGGAAGTGTTGTGTCACACACTCAGAGGGGAACAGTGTGAAAGCAGTTGGTCAGATGGGCCCCTCAGACTCTACTCCAAAGGAAAATCCAACATCTCCAGTCTACTCTTCTCCCTCTCCCAGAGTTTGGAAGGGCTCTTCTATCCCAGTTCCCTTTTTGCCCCAGGTGCTGGTATAAAGTAAAACCTTCCATGGGGTGACATTGGAATAGCGAGCTTCCCTCCTCTCCTTCCATAAGTTGGGATGTAGATTTGCCCAACTAAAAAGTGATGAGTTCATGAAATAGGTGTCAGTGGCCCCTCTCCCCCAGAGGTAAGAACCAGCTCAGTGGGAATTGACATTTAACGGAATTCTAACAATTCAGAAACCGAACTCAGCCACATGACAGCATAAAAAAGTGGCAGATCTTTATTGAATATCCTTTCGAAACACGTATAATAGTATGGGGAAGCGATACAGCACCTCAAAACACACAATGACAAAATCTTTGACTACACGAAGAAGCAAACATCAGAGAAATGAGTATGTCACAGAATTCCTGCATGGCAGGAAGGTCACTAGCACTATGGTACCAATGGCTACATCAAAAGCTAAAACTGCCATAACTAAGTGCAAACCTCTACTACATACACAAAAGAGCAGGGGGCAAGAATACAGCCTGCTTGGAACAAACTCGCATAGGGACTCTAGAACACGAAGAGATCAGTTCTAGCCAGGAGGAAAACAATTTAAGGCAATGTTACTCAGATCCAAGGAAACAAAAGAAAACAAAAAAACATTGAATTGTTTTTCCGAAACATAAGTAGTCAGTGTTTGCATTTGAAAAAGAGTAAAAACAAAAAAAAGAGTTCTCAGTCTTCATTGCAAATAATTTCCATCATCATAAACTGAATTCGAAATTGTAAATTTTGTTCTATGCTCCTCCAAGGAAAAAACAAAAACTTTCAAATACATATGGCAGCTCAAGTATTTCATATTAAAAAGGAATAGAGAAATAAAGACAACTAGACACAAAGCATGCTAAGGAGTTCTCAAAGTGCAATGATTTTTAACTACTGAAAAGGCAACATTCTTCTCCCTTTCAGTCTGCAATCAGTTTTGGAAACGTGACTTGGAGATGAAGCCAAGTTCCAGTTTACCCAACAGCAGTTGGGTCCCATTTCCACTGGATGCTGGGAGTGGGCACAAGTGCGATAATAGAGCTATAAATTAATTTTCATTCTCAACTACAGTATTACACAAATGACACTTGGACATGGTCAACTTGAGGGTGCTACGTCTAACTGCTTACAGCGAGAAAAGCGGCTTAAATAATGCCTGAAAGAGAAAGGGCTCAACCACAAAGCTTGCTTTATGCATCACATACATGACCAAAACTTAAGCAGCAATTTAGCATCTAAAGGTATATATCTGAGGCAGAATATTTATATGTTTCAGGAGAGGCCTATTCTATTATTCTATTATGCCCACCCTCCCACAGAATGTGCTTGCTATGTAGATCTTTCACTACGGTTAAAGAGCTGGGTTCAATACCCTCCAAGGTCCTTACTGACCAGGAGGAATTTTTAAATATTGTTTCAAAGTCACTTTCCTCTATCCTTTACAAAGGGCATGGACTGTGCCCATCAGTCTGGCTTGTCCTGGCCCAGAGAAACATGTGACCTCTCCACCCCCCCCCCCCCCCCCCCCCCCGGTGAAACACAGTCAGAGCTGAAGCCAGCCAGCACAGTTCTGCAATCATGCTCTAGACCAGAAAAGGCAGGGCCCATGGAGTGTCGCTGAAATCCTATTATCTGAAATAGACTCTGCCCCCAAACTCTTCTGGGAAAAAAAGACACCACCCCCTCCCCCATCTCAAACTAAACCTATACTCCCCAAATCTGGTCTTTTGGTTAAGTGTCAAGTAATGAGAAGAATGAGTAACTGGGCCTCTTTTTGTACTGAGTTAAGGAAGGTAGCAGGACCCACACTATCACTATGCAGGGGAGCTGGAAACGATGCCACTCCACAAAGTGCAGGCAATAGGGGATTTTTTTAAAGTTGAAGAACTGCTTGTTCACAGTCTGTCCTGTACAGAATATATATATTCTTGCTATGCCATATAAACAGGATTTATACAGCTTAAACGGTCAGATACATGCATTGGACTTGGTAGGTGGTACACATTTCTTCACAATTGTGTATGCGGATTTTACAGTCAGGTTAGTGAGCAACAGACATGTTAAGCGGGCCCATGCCTCGCATTATCTAACATATTTAGTGGGGGCTCAGAATCATCCATTGGAAGAACCAGGCGGGTTCCCCGAATTACAAGTTCATGGTCCCCAAATGCAAGTTCTCGATCCAGGACATCTTCAGAGGTGTTTCCAATAAGCCTCCTGGGAGCACTGGCTGACATGGAGTCAGTGCTAACAGTAGAATCACCATACGTCAAACTAATGTCGCCATCGTTCAAGATAAGATCAGAATCATCATCTTTCAGCTGTTCCTGATTCTAAACCAAAAGATAAAACAAATGTTACTTTCAAGACAATTTTCTTATCAGAAGACCAAACTGCAAGAGTCACAGGTGAGCTAGGTCCATGAAAAATATTATTTACTTTCACATAAGCAACACCTAGAAATAAGTTATCCCTGATACACTTAATTGTGAAGACACGATAAAGAACAGCAGGCAGCCTCAGCACCAGACCATCGATCTCCCAGGTCAACAACTGAAGGTTCTAATGATAACTGTCTTTAACTGTAAACTGCTTTGCAATGAATAAGTACCTTACGGCAGAGAGAAAATGGTAAACAAACAAAAAAAATCATGGGGCTAAGAATCAGTTTGCCACCCCGTACCTTCCCCCTCACGGTTCCTGGTTCTGCCTTCTTGGGCCAAGCAGAACAAATGATTTTTCTATGTCCTAGTTGCCAGGTATCTTGCCATCCTGGCCACCATCCTCTGGATACAACATCCCTCTAAAATGTGGTAACCAGAACCAAACACAATCCTGTAGAGGCATACAATCCCTCAGGGGAGAAAGACACTTTGCAAACCCAGGTGTGAGTTATTACCATCAATATCTGACCACATCCATCTTGGCTGAGATGATACCCTCCGTTTCTTCAACAGTTGGGAATTTCTTGTCCCGAAACAGCTGAGATAAATATGCTATTCCATGGATTCTTTTTAGAGGGTAGGTCTGGGATTAGAAGGTTGGGTTTCAGATGTGAAAAATAAAACTACTTAAAAATCAGACTTCTTTCCTAAGTCTGGTCCATGCATCAGTTACCTAAGCTCTAATGCTTAGAACTGAATGCAAGGACACACAAACCCCAAACTGGAAGCTAAAGAAACAAAGAGGGGGTTCTAGAGGATGCCTTGACATGCTCATGGCTCCAACAAGAGGAAAGAGAAGTTGTGTCCAAGATCCACAAGAGTAAAAGCGCACACCACCACACATCATCTGTTACTCACAGGAGCTTCACAAACAGCAACTGAGATCCTCTGGCCACTTCGTGGATGAGGATGTAAAAAACACCTAGCCCAGGACACATACTGCAAATCTGGACACCAACCCAGGTGCCACTAGAAGACTTCAGGTGCTCCAAAGACAGTGTGTGGTACTGCTTTGTTCCTACAGCCCATTAGACTTTCAGTTGGAATCACACACAAAGGTTTCTGGCATGCTCAAATGGTCCATTGACTAAGCAAAAGGTGCTCACTTCCTTAAAGCCCATGCATGCTTTGGTGGTTTAAAGAGAAAAAAAAAAGGTCCAGGGACCAGATGAGATGAAGTTAGGTCAAGCAGAGCTATCAGATGAGAACTACTTACTTCATAAGCTTGAGGGCTGGTCAGACATCTTGCGAGGGGTCCACAGAAACTGGGGAGTGTGGAAGTAAGAGGTGGCCCGCTGTGGGTCAGGAGCGGTTTCAGATAGCTGTACTTGTTAAGGGAGAAAAAACTTCAAATGTCCTTATTAATCATGCCAAAATGCCCAGCTTATTTAATGGAAGAAATCAATAACCAGAAAGAGAGCCTGAATCATTTTCAAGTTACTCCTTAATTAACTAAGGAAGAGAAAAGGAAAGGTTCTGCTAATCAATTCATCATCTGGAGAAAGACAGTAGCTTTCATCATGTGACCTATGAATCTGATTAGCAAGTGGTGAAAGCAAGCTCTCAATCAAAACCTGAGTGGAAACCTTATAATTACTGCTCAAAAAGTTGTCAAAGGGGAACTAAGCTAATCCCAAAGACCTCTCTAAATTGTTATTGTTTAAAAATTACATACTTCCATCACTAGTTTAGCTTGAATATCATTTGTTCTCTTCAAAATGAGTATCAAATTCTCATGAGACAATGAGCAACCCAGAAGAGGAAATCACAGTACAAAGTAGGAAGAAACTGCATTCACTCAACTCTACCCCCTCTTCAAATCATTTTTCAAGGACTCAGCACTCAGAAATAACTAGATCGTTATACAAGTCTTTATCACTATTTAACCCCAAGAAACAGACTAATACCTATTAGTACTTGTATGAAATGCAACAGGTTGGGACAGCAGTCAACCTTTGAAATTCCCCTGTGAATACAGTACTGCTCCCCCCTCCCAAGGCAAGATACTGTTCAGAGCAAGAAAGTCAGGTTTTTCAAATAAAATATCAATTCCCTGGGGCAGGCAGAGTCAGTCTCATCTGCCTTGTATCCCTAGTGCCCACACAAGGCCTGGCACATGAAAGGTACTGAATAAATGCTTGTAGAATTGTCTGTTGTGAATGAGGATTTCATGACCGCTAGGTTTATAAACCTGAGGTAAAAACTGCCAAATTCTGGTTAAAAGTACCCATTTCTTCAAATATCCCCACATTCCAACAGATGTTCGTTCTCATCAGCTTGGCCATCCCCACCAGTGATGAAGATCACATGCCATCCACTGTGCCTATCCTGTGGGCCTCTTGTCCAGGTCTTCTCCTAAATTTGCCACAAGGAGGAAGGATAAGGGAGGTGCTACTAGATTTGTTTGGGGGCCATCCAATTTAAGGAGAGAAAAAAAAATAGAAGGTCAAACAAGCCGATCTGCAATTCTCACTAGTCTCACTGGAACGACTGAGGTGACTTAAGTCTTGGTGCCCAATAGAAGTATACAGAAAACCATGTTGTCCTTCTTTTAAACAGCATGTCTTTACACGAGGATGATTTCTGTCACTTCATACCACACATTAGCTAGAGTGTACACTTTGGTTAAAAAATAAGATTTACACAGAAGGTACTCATACATTTGTTCAATGAAGTAAAATGGATGAAAAACATTAAAGATCCAGAAGGGGCCTATGTCCCAAATGCTGGTAAAATTGCTGCTTCTGATTTAATTAACATTTAAGCAATTTTGCAAAGCCAGGGCTCGCTCCCTAATGGAAGCCTTAATGCACCACAACAACTTATGTGTTCTGGCTTCTTGTAGCGATTTGTTTTAGAAGCAAGAGTCCATTATGGTACGATGTACTGCAGGCCCTTGGCCAAATGGACAAGGGGAAAAGATGAGTGCTTGCTCTCTTTTCAAGGCTTTCCTTGTTTAATTCAGGGGTTCTTAACCTGGGGCCCCTCTGGAGGGAATTAAAGGGGATCCATGAACTTGGATGGGGAAAAAAATGACATCTTTATTTTTACTAACTTTGTTTCCTCTGTGGTCCTACGTGTGTTATCTTATGCATTTGCAAACCTGATTCTGAGAAGTTGTCCATAGGCTTCACCAGACTGCCCAGCGGGGTCCAAGGATCAAAAAGGGAGAACAACTTTGGTTCTAATGTAAGGATGCTAGATTTCAAGCCAGAGGAATTTAGCTCAAATCCCAGCCTTGGTTTGAATCCCAGTGTTGTTATGTGCTAACTGGGAGACCTTGGAAACTCACCTCACCTTTCTGGGCCTCAGTTTCCTCATCTGTAAGATGAAGGGGCTGGACTGGATGGCTTCTCATGCACAGAAGGGATGGGGGACATCATATGTGTTTATGTATTTCCTAGGTGTGTCTGAATGCTAGATGACACCAAGTTCTGATAAACAAGGCTTGAGAAACCCAATTATGAAAGTGAATTTTATGATCCTTCCCTCTGTTCAATTGTCAGCTTAATCTGCAGGAAATTAATTTTGATCAATATCAATAAAGGACTCACTCAAGAAACATATGGTTTAAGCAGCCCATGAAGAAGCAACACTATCAAAAGTGTGTCTAGGAAGGACTGTAGTCTGTGTTGAGGGGCACGGGTTAGAAAGCTAGGAAATAACTGAAATGGTCACTGTGGTGGCCATAACAGCTGGAAAATAAGGCTTATGTGGCCCACAGAGTTAGAGTTAGAAGGATCCTTAGAGATTATGGTATTCAGAGCACTGGCCCTAAAGTCAGGAGGACCTGAGTTCAAATCCGACCTCAGACCAAACACTTGACACTTACTAGCTGTGTGACCCTGGGCAAGTCACTTAACCCCAACTGCCTAAAAAAAAAAATTATGGCATTCAACTCCCTCATTTTACAGAAGAGAGAACAGAGGCCCAGGGAGGAAAAAGGACTGACCCAGCTTAACAAAGCTAATAATGGACAAGGGGCAAAATTCGACCCCTGGTCCTTGAACCCCAAATCCAGTGCTTTGTTACATTCCACTGCTATTTCAGAACTCTTCCTTTGAGAAAAGATCGGGAAAGGCACTTGCACTGACAAACCAAATTCTTTTTTTTTTTTGGCTAGGCAATGGGGTTAAGTGACTTGCCCAGGGTCACACAGCTAGTAAGTGTTATGTGTCTGAGGCTGGATTTGAACTCAGGTCCTCCTGAATCCAGGGCTGGTGCTCTATCCACTGCGCCGCCTAGCTGCCCTGACAAACCAAATTCTTAAAGCTTTTTTCATCATCCTCCATTTTTTAGTCCTGACCAATAAAAAGCCTCCCAAATGACATCCACAATGACAAAAGGGGATGAAAACTGCATACTGCCCAATTACAGATTATGTGTGTCTTTCTGCACACGCGTTGGACGGGCAGATGGGTCACTACACACAGGGAACTGAACAGTGCTTTCAATAATCCCAAACTGTTCAATGTCACAAAATCCCATCTCTTTTTTTACATCAGTAGTGAAACTACTTGTCTATAAATTACGATCTCCAAAGAATCAAAATCACAAACAATCCCAATAGCAATGGGGAAAGATGGCAACAAATACTAGTAGATTTGTAGTCAAACAACCTGGGAGTCCTAGCTCTGCCACTGACTATCTGCACGATGATGGGCAAGTCATTTTTCCTCAAGGAACCTCAGTTTTCTCATGGGTAAAGTGGGGAATGACAACATCTCTCAGCATTGTTGTCAGTTATCAGATGAAAACGCTTACAAGGAGAAGGGAAAATGGTCTTCCTCTTCTGTAAGAAGAACTAAAGGTAGGCCTTGCTCTCTCCTCAGAACGGGGGAGGAGCAAAGCCAAGAGTAGCCAAGTTGGAATTCTCATTGCCCACCCTCCACATCCTCCTCATTTTAAGGATACTTATGGTCAAAGTTGTACCAGATCCTGAAGAGCCAAGCGCTTTCAGCTTTTGTGTTCCTTCTTTCACTCTCTGGGAAGCCCTGTGACCAGAGGAGAAAGAATAGGCCAATGGAACAACTAGTTATTGACACCCATTCCCTCTCAAAGATTCAGGAAGAAAAAATCCCCTACTGTGTGCTATTTCGAAGGGTCATTTGGATGTGACTTGGCATTCCTCTTTGCTATTCGCACTGCCACCTGCTGGGTTGTAGCCCTGACCACCTCTCCACCCATGATAGAAGCTCTGATCTACCAATGGCCTAGCAAATGTGTCCAGCAGTGGGCCATGAGGATTGCCCAGAGAGCACACAGTCTCCTCAACAGCTGGCTATCTTAACAATTAGCAAGGTGAAGTTCATCAACTGATTTCTTTTCATGCTACCATCGAGGCAAACAAACCAAGGCTTGGTTTAGACCAGAAGAAATGTGTTTTGAAACTAAATACAACACAAACCATCCAAGCTCTTCTCATGCTGTATTAATATGAATAATTATATATAATAATATTTTGCACCTGTCATCCAGACATTCAAGTAGCCCTTAACAGAGAAGAAATATATGACTCTGTACTGGGCGATGGGGCTTGGTAGATAGGAAGCAAATGATCATGAGAAAGAAGTAAGTCTGTTAGAAAGCAGGGTTTTAACTGAATAAGACTCTACAGGTTTATTCCTATACCTCAAACAGCACTCAGAAACGTGCATGGCATCAGGACAAGGGTGGGATACAGGACCAAGAGATTCTAGTGCCCTTGAACAGACAGGCTGGAATATTTCTGGGGAATTCTGAAGGGCTGCTGCTGCTCACCCAGTTTGGAAGTGAGGGTAGCCAGACAGCCGAAGGAAGGCTTCCAGCAGAGTCCAGCCTTCATGCACAAACCCAAGTGGAAAAAGACTCCCCTTGCCAGAGCCCTGCTCTCCTCTCCAAGGGTGGTCTAGAGATAGGAGAGCCATCACCTTGGATACCATGACCCCAGCTATGCTCTGCTTTGGTTTATATCAGGCAGTAGGAAAGGCAAGGAACAGCTTTGTTTAAAAGCTAATTAAAGGAGCTGAGAAACCAAGCTTTGGTGTGATGGAGGTTTTACTCACTTTCATTACAGGTAACTTCACATCAGACAAAAACATCCATGCATACTTACCAGATGATCCTGGTCTGAATCAACTCCAACCCTAAGGGAGGAAACACAAACGTCAGATGAGAATCTGGGCTTTTAAACCTGTGGCAGCTCATTTTCTTAACATAGGCAATGTGACAGTGTACAACGGAGGGAATTCTAGGCTTGGGATGGGAAGGACTAGGCTAGAGCCCAGCTCTGCCCCCTGCTTGCCACCTGTGGCTCCTGGAAGTCACAACCTCTGTGGGCATGTTTCCTCATCTGTAAATTTTGGGTTTTGCATGGACCTAGGATCAACCTTCCCCAATTTCTCTTCTCCAGTTATTGGTGTACTTTGCCACCTTAAACTGTTTTCTATTTAGGCATCTGTCCACATGTTTTATCCCCCAGTAAAATGGTGATACCTCAAGGCCTGAGACAGGTTTTTATTTTTTCCTTTGTAACCCCATGGCACAATTTGGTGCTCAATAGAATTGATTTCATGAGTGTATGTGGAACTCTCAGGGTAGGAACCCCTTCCAATTAAGCAGATGGCAATTTTAATGAGCTTTATTATTTTGTTTTCTTTTTTGGTCTATGCCTCTGATTTGCCTGGCATAGGAAACTCCTGGTGTGGAAACACCCTCCGCTCATGAAGATCAGTAATTTAGTCTTGGAGAGTTGTGTGGGCTATTGGGAGGTTAAATGACTTTCCCAGGGTCACACAGTCAGGCTGTGTCAGAGGCAGGACATTCTTGAACCCAAGGCTTCCTGACTCCAAAGCCAAAATACCAAGAGTCATACATGCCTTACCAATTTCAAAGGGTTTTTGTGGGAGCAAAATAAAAAAATGTGAAGCTATCAATAAAAATAGCTTGGATTCCAAATTTGGCAATGATTGCCAATCTTACTAAGGGAAAGAGAGAGAGGAAAGAAAGGAGTAAGTATTTGTTAGGCACTCACCAGGCACTGTGCTAAGCACTTTACAAAGAGTATCTCATTATGCTCCTCAATCTCTTAAACTAATATCAAAATGACATTTCTTCCCTGGAAATTACATCAGAACAAGGAATGTTACTGTCTCCCCTTTAAAAGAGGGTACTTTACTGTAGATGGCAACCCATCTGAGGCAAGATTGGAATGAAGGGCTTCCTGACTCCAAGCCCAGCACTCCTATCCACTACACCACAGCTGCCTCTATTGTCACTTCAATAATTAAAAGGATTTGATGTCACCGGCAGTCATTTCCATTTCGGCAATCATTTGGTGTTCTGTGTGGTGGCTTGGGGAGGAAAAAGAAAAGACGACGGAAAAAAAACAACAAAGAAAAGTATTTAGGGAAAGGAGATTTCTTTCTAGCCTCATTTCCACCATTATTAAATGCTGCAACAGAAAAATGTCTAGCTCTCTGCCAAAAGCTAATGGACAAGCCAGCCATGGGGTATCGTGGTCATTTCTGACTGTCTAGGATGTGTTCAAAATGATGGCTAAAACCACAGAAAAATGACTGTTCCATGTGTTATTGTGGGACTAAAGCAAAGCCTGGAGGAAGAAACAGATCAGAGCTCTCCTTCAGATGGAGTGGATTCTAACGAAGGTGTGGCCAGAAGCTCACTGTTCGTGGTTTTAAAATGTCAAAAGTCTGCAAGTCCATAATCTGCATACTAATAGCAGATTCTAAGCAAATCCATGAATGTAAAGTGACATCTAGTGGTCGTGGAGAGTCATCACACAGGGTCCAATGTCTCCAAATCAATTCCATATTCGGTAAATACCTATCGCTGGCACAGTACTGGGTTCGGCACTTGGGAGAGGACAGGAGTGGTTTTAAATCTGCCCTCAATGATCTTATGTGGAGGATAAAACTCATACACATGAAATAGAAAGTACAAGATCACATAAATTCAATTGTATGCTATGGGACCCTGCAGGGGCAGGGTAGAGCCATATAAAGGCAGGCAAGAGTTGAAACTCAGTTTTTAGGGTTGTTTGCATTGACTTAACCCTTCTATCACCTTTAAAAAAAAAGACCTTGCTAAGGAATTAGCTTAAGATAATTTAGGAAACTATAATTACCCCTTTAGTGATAACAAAAGTAAGTATTAACATTTCACTCAATAGCTTTTCAAGGGAAAGAAAAGAGCTTAAGGTTGCTAATTTCTAAAAGCACCATCACCTGAAACAACATTCAGGGTACTTCCCATTTGCACAGATGTACAAATGACTGTCTCGGACACAGTAAAAAGCAGGTGTCACAGTGATTGATCTGGATTAAGAAAATAATTCACCAGGATTAGGTATGGCTAGATTGGACACTTGGTTTTTAGATCCTTTCCCAGAAAGGAAAAGAAAAAAATAAAGGAGCTAAATTGGACTTCTTTTTTTTTTAATGGACCATACTGTTTTCTCTAATCAATGTCGTAGATTTGGGGAGCTCAGTAGGTTCCTAGGGCATATGAAGTCTCAGTTAGTACACATAGTTAAAACCTATAAAGGCTTTAACAACCCAGGCTGCTGTTTCCATAGAAACAGATGTGGGACTGGGGAGAAGAGAGGGAGCTTTCAAAGTAAGTACATTTTCAAATATTAAAAACAAAAGTCTTCCAACTTTAACCTTGGAGTGGTTGGTCACAAACAATGCTGCTCTTTGGGTGAAGTCTAAAATTCTTCTACAAACTCACAGTCAAATAAAGAGTCTGAATTGTAATTTAATATTCCACCACAAAGGCATCTAGTTTTTCCTTACCGGATGTTCAGACATGACAACATGGCCGTGGTGCCCCCACCAAAGACCCACACAGTAAAAAACACAATCAGGAGCGTGGTGCTGAACATCATCTGCCTCGCATAGGTGGCAGTATCCCGAATGGCCAGGGCAAAGGCCATGGCACCACGAAGGCCTGAAAGGAAACAAGGGATTATTTTATGCCATTAACCCATAGACATTGGGAGCTACAAGAAATCCACAGAAGCAAAGGGATTTCGGGGAAATGGGAAGCGACAGAAAATAACTTTTTTTTTTATAAAGTCTAGTACACAGTACTGACCATCATTCATCTTCATCCTCCCCACCTCACCTCCCAAGTTCTCTTCTCCCACTGTCTTACCTAACAATGCCAAGTAAAACATTACAAGGGGTAGTTAGTGTCAAAGTATGGTGGAGTTTGGTTACAATAGGTCAATGATATTATTGCCAAACCACACTTGTTGAGACAAAGTTGCAAAGTTAAGTAGGGTAGAACTATATTCCCACTCCTCTATAAACCCAGTACAATAAAAGCTCTTTGTAAACAGGGACTGGTTCATTGTCTTTGTATCCAGAGCCCCTGGACCGGTGCTTTGCACAATAGGCATTTAATCCAACAAAACTAGGAACTGAGAGCTAAAATGAGGAAAAATAACAATGGTGGAGAAAGAGGCATAATTCACCACGAAATGATATCAATCTATCAACTTTTAATAAGCACCTACTGGGTACCAGGCACTGTGCTAAGCTCTGGAGATACAAAAAGAGGTAAAGGCAGTCCCTGCCCTCAAGAAGCTTACAATTTAACAGACTTTTCACTATAAACTTCTAACTTTAATACTCAAAATACATGAAGGTTCTACTCTTTCATCACCATAAGGAATTCTTCACACTGCTGCCTCCAACAACTGTAGATGGCAACCCATCTGAGGCAAGATTGGAATGCAGGGCTTCCTGACTCCAAGCCCAGCACTCCTATCCACTACACCACAGCTACCTCTATTGTCACTTCAATAATTAAAAGGATTTGATGTCACCGGCAGTCATTTCCATTTCGGCAATCATTTGGTGTTCTGTGTGGTGGCTTGGGGAGGAAAAAGAAAAGAGAATCACATACTTACCAGCAAACATCATCATGTGTTGAAAATTTGATCCGATCTTATTTCTTCTGCCCAAATTAAGTAAAAGGGACAAGGGATAAATATTGGCAGCTCTTCCCAAGAAAATGGCAAGCTAAACACATTAACACGTTAAGGATCAATTTCTTACACTTGTTTAAACTTCTTTGTTAAAATGATGCTAATGGTGATGGCAGAAAGTCTGAGGCACTGAACTCAAATTCTAAAGCAAGATAAATTATTAAAAGGGACAGTTTGTGAACACCTGGAAGCAGGTAATCACTAAACCCCAGCATGGTTACACTGAGAACAAATCACTCCAGCCTAACCTAATTTCCTTTTTTGACAGGATTATTAGACGAAGGAAAGGCTGTAGCTACAGCTGAATTTCAGCAAGGCACTGGATGAGATCTTTTACGATATCCTTGCAGAGAAGATGGATAGATGTGGCCTGGATGATAGTACAGTTAGGTGGGTTCAGAACTGGCTGACTGACCAGAACCAAGAAGTCTTTCTGATTAATGGAGCAAAGACAACTGGAGGGAAGTCTCAGTGTGAGGCTCTGTTCTGTTAAGCATTATCAATGATTTGGATTAAAGGCAAAGCGGGGAAGGATAGTTAATATACTGGGATCCCAAAAGATCGACAGGTGGAAATCATGGGCTGAATGAAGCTAAGAAGATTAATTTAAATAGTGCTTGTTGTTTTGTCCTTTTCAAAGAGGGCCAATGACACCATGGGTGATGCCTTGACTTGTGCGCAAATTGGATTTAAGTGAAGCAGAGCTGCACAAAGTCATCAGCCTCACTCTCTCTTCCTGAGTCACTGAAGTCCAGTGGCAAGACAAAACTCAAGACAACTGGTGATGGCCCAGCATGCAGTGGATGACCATGGTGTCTTCCATGTGTAACCAAGTTCTAAGCGCTCCACAGTGCCTGCTTCAGCCACATTCATGGCCATTAGAACAAATTGTTCTCATCTGCCCATTTTGCTGGAGAAGTCTTCATGTGCTTGGGGTAAACACCCCCCTCCCCCAACTTAACACTTGCATTAAAAGAAAAATCAATTGTACAAAAATAAGACAGAGGACATGTCTGGAAGGCAGTCCTCAGAAGTTCTATTGGACTGGAAGCTCAATATGAGCTAGCAATATGATACGAAGGCTAAGAGTTTATAATTTAATTAATAAGGATAATAATAGTTTACAATTATATGGTTTAAAAATGCTTTTCTCATCACCCTGTAAGGTGGCAGATAAGGAAAACGAGATTTAGAGAGTTGAAGAGTGTCTTAGCAAAGGCCACACAGCTAATACATATCAGTGCTGGGACTCCACCTTGGGTTGTCCGACTCCAAGGCTGGCCTAGCTTTCTAGAACACCACAATGTTTCTAAAAATACAGAGTTCAGAACAAGCCTGCTGCTCTGGTTGGACTACAGTTGGAATCATGTGTCCAGTTCCAGGTACCCCCACATTTGGAGTAGGACACTGATTGACAAGCTATGTATCCAAAGGAGGACAATCGGCATGAGGAGGGGATCAGATGAAAGAACTATGCATATTTGCCTGCAGAAGCTAGACTATGATGACAGCCTTCAAATAGATGAAGAAATAAAAAGAGGAAAAAAATTTTTTTTAAAAATTAGATGAAGAGCTCTGATCCTTCTTGCATTTGAGACTTGTTTTGCTTGACCCCAGAAAGCAGAACTAGGGCCAATGGATGTAAGTCACAGAAGGAGAATGTGAATCAACACAGGGAAAAACCTTACAGCTAGAACTTCTAGGGCTATATCCCAAAGAGATCAAACAAATGGGAAAAGGACCCACATGTACAAAAACATTCATAGCAGCTCTTTTTGTGGTGGCAAAGAATTGGAACTTGAGAGGATGCCCATCAATTGGGGAATGGCTGAGCAAGTTGTGGTATATGAATGTAATGGAATACTATTGTGCTACAAGAAATGATAAACAGGCTGACTTCAGAAAAACCTGGAAAGACTTGTATGGTCTGATGCTGAGTGAAGTGAGCAGAACCAAGAGAACTTTGTACACAATAACAGCCATGTTATGCGATGACTAATATTGTTAAACTGAACCCTTCTCAGCATTACGAGGATCTAAGACATCTCCAGAGGCCTCGGGATGGAAAATGCTGTTCACATCCAAAGAAAGAACTATGGAAGTCGAATCGCTATCACTTATTTTTACCTTCTGTTGAGTTTTGTTTCATCTTTCTGATGGTTCCTCCTATTGGTTTTAATTTTTACTTACAACTTCACTAATGTGAAAATATGTTTAATAGGAATGTAAATGTAAAGCCTATATCAGATTGTGTGCCATCTTGGGGAGGGTGGGGGGGAGGAAGGGGGAGAAAAATTTTCAACTGAAAAGCATATGGAAGTGACTGTTGATAAATCAAAATAAATTAATAAAATTAAAAAAATAAAAAAATAGAACATTAAAAAAAAAACCAATTACAGCTAGAAGAGGCTGCCTTGGGGGCTGGGACAGTAGCTTGCTTTCACTGAAGGCTGGATGCCCAGCTATTGAGGATACTGCACTAGAAGCTGGGCATGGGATGGCCTTTGAGGCCCCTTCTAGCGTTAAAAATTTTAACTCTACAAACTTTCTGGTTGTCAGTCACCTACCGAAAATCCACTAGAAGATGAATGAAAATCTGTTTTAAAAGAATTATACTAAAAAAAAGTCCAAGAGAATACCAAAATTGACTCATTTTATTTGATAATTTTGGCAGAATGAAAGTGTTTCCCTGCCCCATTTATTAGGCATTGACTTCTATTCCCTCTTAACTGTCCCTTCCTCAAGATTCAGAACAGGGAACTTTAATTACTTTGCCCTTTTAAGATCTGGAGTGGCCCTGATCCAAGTGTAGCCGCCTGTATGGCTGGTAAGAAAAGGCCTACCATCCGAACAGAAGAAGTTCAGCTAGAAGCGTATTTTCGTATCTTTTCTGAAGGCCCAAGGAACACAGAGCTCAAGTGAGAGGAAAAGATATTTGACAATTCCACCTTGTTTCCACAGATTAATTACAGAATTGTTTTTGTCACTCTGCTATGCAGGAAAAGAGCACAGAGAGAAGTCAAAGAGGCCAAGGGAAAAGCAAAGCTCGGGGCCTAGAGTGGCCAATGAGAAGGCCCAAGTAAACACTCTCTTAGGATGATCAAAGGACAACCTGCACCTCTGAACAGAGGGGATTATTTTCAGATTTTGTTTCCAGCTTGGTTACCTGCTTCTGCTTCATTCGGTTTTTCTCACGGACTGGAAACATATTTATTTAGTGGGCTTCTTGTCCAGTTTTTCCTCTTCCTTGGTAATTGATCACCTGTTTTATGGCTGAGTTTACAGACCAGCATTTCTGGAACAAGAGCAGTCCCTTCTTTACCTCCCTCACTACACATGGCTAGCAGGGTACACTTTTGAGTCTTGATGCTGTTGGTGAGGCCCTTCTTCATATGATCTCCCTGCTGCACACCCTGATACCTTCAGAGATCTTGCCATTGCCTGCAATGCCCCTATAGCCCTATCTCACCTAGTGCCCTATAAGGGAAGAAAAGAGGGAGAATGTGAAGGGAGAAAGCTGAGGAAAGAAGGAGGCTGGGAAGCAGTAAAGACATGTGCCAGGCACTGCGTTGGGTGGACCCCATCCTATTCCTATCTCCACAGGACGGCTGCAGTACCTCTTTGCTCGACCTATCTGGTTGCCACTATTCTCACTGGATCAACTACCCTCTTCCCAGACTCTCAGGGTGAGAGCAATGAAGAGTGAATGAAGAGTAGGGGGAGAATCTAGCTGCTCCTGATCACCATCCCTCCAGCTGCTATCCCTGATCCACATTTGTCAATGTGCATTTTTTTTTTGGTCACTTGTTGAAAGGTAGTGAATTTGTGGTTGAAGACGTGCTTTAGAAATCACTATTTCTTGGAACAAATTTGAGAACAAGGGTGAAAAATGGAAATTCCTGGTATTTTTGGTCTGAAGAAACGGTATATACATGTATTATCAATGCATTCTTGTGCCCTCCCTGATCCAAATCAGTGAAATTGCAAAATGCTTCCCCCAATCTTGTCAAACAAACAAGGATACAAAAGCACCCACCACGAAAGTAGGGTTAAAGACGTGGTTCTGGAAAGTGAAGAGTGTCAGCCCCATGTATGAGAAGATGAAATTTTCCGCCAAGAAATTGAGAAGCTCAAACAACTAAAAAAAAAAAGGTTTTAAAAATATTTCCTAGGAAAAATATAAAGTTACATTATCTTCAACCATGCTTGAATCACATAAGACAAGTGCTCATTCACATATCCTAAAAATTGACAGGAGACTGACAAGCATGTAGAACTGCCCGCTCTAAACCCCCAAAATTTCCAGGAGTCATCTCTGATGATCAAAAACCTAGCTTCCCCCTTTCCAACTTCCTGATTTCTGCCAACCAATGGCATCATTTTCCTAGTCATCTTTGGATCATCATTACAGAACTCGGCTGGGCACAGGACATGGAAGGAGAAGAGTTTTCCACTTCCTTGTTGGAAATGTTTCTTGGACCCTACCTCATAAATGTTGCTATCACCTGAGTGTAGACCAGGGTAGGGAACCTGTGGCCTTGAGGCCACATGGGGCCTTCTAAATCCTTAAGTGAAGCCTTTAGACTGAATCCAAATTTTATAGAACAAATGCTTTATGGTTGGCTTCTCACCATCCTGGGAGCCAGGCATTATAAGAGGTAGAATCCGCATTTTATGGATAAGGAATTTGAAGCTCCAAGAAATGAGGGGATTTGTCCAAGGTTTCCTACCTACTAAGTGTCAGACAGAGGTGGGATCTGAACCCAGGTTTCTCTCTTGCTTCCAAGGCTAGCACTCAAAAGGCTCTGCTATGATGCCTCAGGATCAAGGTTCAAGCTCATTATCATGTAATCATACTTGGCTAGGGGACACAGCCTATAATTGTGCCCAGTGGTATTATCACTTATGTACGCCTTGTCTCCAAGGAGATGATTATCTCCCTGAAGGGTGGGAAGGGAGGCAATCACAGCTTAAGCTACTTTATATTCTCCACAGTGGCTAATGTATATTTGTTGAGAGACTAAATTCAAGGCCTTCCATGGAGGGCTCCATCCTCTACCTTTTTCTGATAATGCTGGACTGACACTTTTTTTAATCACCACTCCCTGGCATGAGTCTTCTGTGGTCTTTCTTGCCCTGTCATTCACCACTCCCCAACTCCCACCCCCAATCTTACCATCCTTCAAGGTCCAGCTCAAGTTCTCCCCCTTCTACGAAGCATTCCTGACACATCCACACTACCACGAGCCCTGCCTTCTATAAAGGCCTATTACCACACATCATGTCATTATTGGACAATCAGGATCACACACCGTCTGTTTGATTGTATGAGTCTTTTCTCATTACCTGGGCTATTAGGGAAGGACTCCCCTCTCTCCCCCACTTCTGTCTCTCTCTCCATCTCTCCCCCATTTTTCTCTCTCTTTCTCTCTCTGTTTCTGCCTCCCTTTCTGTCTCTCCCTCCTTCCTCCATCCATCTCTTTGCTTCTCCCTGTGTCTCTCTCCCTCTCTCTCCCCCATTTCTCTCCCTCCTTCCCTTTATTTCTATCTCTTCCTCTCTGTTTCTGCCCCTCTTCTCTGTCTGTCCCCCATTTCTCTCCCTCCATCTCTCCCCCTCTCTCAGTCTCTCTCTTTCACATCTACCCACTGTGCCTAGCAAAATGCTGGCCTCACAGGTGAACTAAATTAATCTGTAAAAAGGAGGAACCCAGGTTTAAAAAACAAAACACTGATTAAAAGTACTTTGTCTCTGAGTTGAAAGGAAAACCACTGTCTCTTGGAGCTATGAACTCAATTCCTTAACAAGAAAAATGTCTTTGCTGCTGCTTCACTAATGGTCCTAATCACTTAAGCAGCCTGAGAACACTTACTCTCTCCACACGGCTGTAATCAAGTACAAATTTGTATCTGGCACATTTTTCATCCACTGTCCTCCCTCACTCATTAGCCTGCAAATTGGAGGGCCCAGGCTCTGCCTGAGCCCCACAGATACCCTGCCCGTGGGATCACTCAAGATGCCTCTGTGGAGGCTGTTCCATCACTACTGGAGCCCCTTCCTGTTCCCAAGGCCGAAGCACCCCTGGAGATGTCAGTGATGAGACAACAACGGAGAGGGGAGGCATGTTAGCCTTTCCTGGACCTCCCAGAAGCAGCCCCTTTCAACTTCTTCAAAGCTGCTACAGATGAAGAACTCCAAAGGAGCCGGGAGGCTCATGGTCCTGTCCACCCTGACCCCACCCTGACCCCACCCACCCCAGGAAGCGACAGTTAGGAGCCAGGCCAACAAGACTTAGGACCTGGAGTTGGTTTGGGCAGCCAGTCCAAAGAAGCAAGCAATTCTGAGCCAAGTTCCAAGGTCTCTCTTACCTGTTTGGTTCTATGCTGCGAATCCGGCGACAAGTTATTGTATGTGTAGTGTGCTTGTGTGATGCCACAAAACAAGACTGCTACTACACCTGCAGTGAGGACAAAGTCCAGCTTTAGCTAAGAAACCCGTATTAGCAAAGAGGAACTTCCTAACTTTTTTATGATTAGTTCCCTTAATTCTGCAACCCTCCCATATTTCATGTGAAAAGTGATTTTACTTTCTAAAGCAAAAATGGGAGGAGAGATGGGGGGGAAGGGGAGGAAAGGAGAAGGGGAGAGGGAGAGCAGTCAGCCCAGCCATTTCCTCTCAGTGTTTAAAATCACAAAGGTAACGTGACCTACCAGTGAAACCCCAGGCTTCGGCCAGAAGGAAAGTACTCCAGGACATCAAGAAGAACAGGCCTGTTTCCAGCAAGTGGAACTCTCGAAGTTTGGTGAACTTCGTCACGTAAGACTGTTAAGGTTGGTCTCAAAATGATGAAATGCACTTTAATTCCAGCACAAAAAACTGGCAAGTTCCTATACAATGCTCATATGCTTTCTCCACCCCCCCCAATGTTATTAAAACAAAGTCTAATTAATGTAATAAAAAAAGCACAAAAAAACCCCATACTGAACAAAGTCTAATTAATATAATAACAACAAAGAACAAAAAAAATGCTGGGTCTGGGTCTCAATCAAGGCTTCTTAACCTGGGAGTCAGTGAACCTAAAAAAAATCCTTTGATCACTATATTTCAATATTGGTTCCCTTGGTAATTTTTAAAAACAGGGTTCTGAGAAAAGGTCCAAAGGCTTCTCCAAAAGGTCCAGGATACCAAAGGTTAGGAAGCCCAGGGACAGTCACCACATGAAGAAGCCCTTAACCTCCTGGAGAAAGGGACCCATAGTCTCTCCTTCATAACGGAAGCTTATCCGTAGGCATACTATTTCTAGTCAATCAAAGTGCTTTTTAAGCTTCAAGTTTCTCCTTCAAATATGTGGAGAAAAGGACAGAATGAAGAGATGATAGCAGCAGATCACAATAAACTACTAGTGAGCTCGTGTGTCAAGATGGCCTCCAAGCTAAAACTTCGTATCTGTATTAGCCTTTTGGATTTTCCAAAGCATTTTCACAGCTCATTTTATCCTATAACCACCTGGTGAAGTAGTTGAAGCATTGCACACAAGGGGAAACTGAGGAACAGATTAAATGACTTGCCTCAAAAATGATTGCTTCAGGCTGGTTACCCATCCAGTGTGGTGCTCAAATGGTTCTGTTTACTTACCTTCCAAGAGACAAAGAGCACCACTTCCCCCACAAAAGCAAACTTAAAGTATATTTGGAGATCCTTGCCTTTATAAGGGAGAAATCTTAAGCAAAAGGCATGAATTATTAACAAAACTGAGATCCCAGCTACATGGACTTGAACAAGTCCCTTCCTTTCCCTGGGCCACAGTCCCATGTGTGAAGTGAGAGGTCTGGATCACTATTATCAGAGCACTGGGCCTGGAGTCAGGAAGACCTGAGTTCAAATCTGACCTCAGACACTTCCTAGTTGGGTGACCCTGGGCAAGTCATTTAACCTGTCTGCCTCAGTTTCCTTATCTGTAAAATGGGGATAATAACAGTACTTACCTCCCAGGGTTGTTGTGAGGATCAAATGAGATAATATTTGTAAAGTGCTTAGCACAGTGCCTGGCACATAGTAGGCACTTACTTAATAAATGCTTATTCCGTCCCTTTCTCTCTCTCCATCCCCTCAGTCTAACATTCTAGGAGAAGATGAAAGTATTCAGACTTCTCCTTACTCAAGCTACATACGTGGCCTACTGGCTACCACAGCCTTACATTTCCTGCTTTTCTCATTAACCAAAGTGCCAAAGAGTTACATCCTACTCTGGTGGGAAAGAACCAACAGGCATTTTAAGACTGAAAATGATTGTATATACATTCACATCAATTTGTTCTGTAACCTTAGAAAAGGGATCGGGGGTAGAAATGTACCAAATTCACCTTTTCTTTTTTCTTCTTTTTTTTTTTTCAAAATCACCTTTTGCTGTAAAAGTCACACCTACACAAGACAAAAACTACAAAACCTTTTCACTGGTGCATAATTGGTCAAAGTTGTTATGTAGTCTTTTGAAAGAAAAAAAAAGCAACTGGTAAGATTCAGCAGTCATAGGACAATGACATATGCTTGCATTTCAAACCCCCGAGAATAAGCGCTGGACACAGAAGCACCTTCCCAAAAGACCAATGATAGCCAAAAAAACCCTCAAGAAGACCAATGAAAGGATATCAAAGCCGTGACCACTCCTGTGGCAGCTCCCATGGCAAAGGAACCACTGAATATCCCCAAGAAGATTCCAATAGACTTAAACATGGCTGTCACATCAAACGTGTGGCTATTGTCTCCAGCTGGCTGGTATGCCACAATGGAACTGAGAAAGGGGGAGAGACCTCACTTATTTCTTAAGAAGTGAAGAAAGAGACTTTGCAACTCTGATGTGAAAATGAATGTTCAGGATGGGGGGCTGGCTGGCTATTTGGCTTCAAGTTATTGAAATAAAGGCAAAGACTCCCATGTGCATACAAAAAAACCTCAGCTTTTGGCTTAAATGTCAATTCCAGTTATAGATTAAAAAAACCACTGTCATATTATGTATGAAAACTGGATTAAGCCTTTAGCTCTCTCTCCTTCCAGCCTCTAGAATCAGTTATCTGAACACAGAGCAGGAAGAAAGTTCTATTTGAGCGCTCTTAGCATCTGAGTGCCTCACAACCCTACATACTAATGTGACCGAGATAATGAAAACTGGGTCCACTTATTCTGAGCAGAGGCATCAACACATCAACACTGCTCGATATGCAAACCTGGTTTGCCTGAAGTACTTTTCAGCCGTAAGAACCACCCCCAGAGCGACACAGGGGAATGAACATTTTGTAGAGAGGAGGACTCAGGGAGACTGCTCACTGAGCTCAAGCAGTTATAACAATCCACTTGTCAGCATCTCCAGCAAATCCATTTCTCCCCACCCCACTGGAATATTAACTACCCAAGTCACTCTGTAATAGGCAAGCCCCACATTTAACAGGAAGCCTTCCCTACCTCAACTTTCTAACCCAAATTGGGGCTGAACAGGACTTTGGCAGCACTCACCCTTGGAAATAGACACAGATTTGAAAAGCAAACTAGGTCCCCAGTGACAAGGCTCTCTATTCCTAAATCAGGTTTGGATCCAGTTAATTAGTTACTAGAGGTATAAAAAAAATTCCTGTCAGATCATGGTATTAAAGAAGGGACATCAGTGAAAGGTAGAAGAGGGGGTGGCCAGGGAGCCCTCCAAGCAGACAAAACACATGTTCCGTTTATCCTCCCTGTGGTTACTGCAATATGCTTCTGATTACAAGTGTAAAAACATGCTTAGTATATCGTATAGACAAGACTCTCTTTATATGCACCGGTTTAAGTCAATAAAATGTGCTTAAAAACCAAACAAAATATACGAAAATTGAGGCAAATAGCAGTCAACATTAAATTTCGTACTCGGACTTAAAACTAAAAATGTACACAAGGGGGTGAAACATAGTCTTTGATGGTGAGACATTATATTGCTCAAATAACTACATAATAACCTTTAAGGAACTAATGTATGAAGAGTTTTTTTTTTAATGGCATGGGCCACTCCACTACAAAGAGATACACTCAGGATAACAGCATAGATAATAGCTGACCAGAGATAAGAAAGGCCTGCTTCCTTTCCCGAGGGATATTCTCAGAGTAATGGCTCCAATAAAACACCTATAATTTGGCTTGAAAAGGGTGTTCTTCCTCAGCTTTCCCCTTGTCAAAGTATAGGTGATCAAAATGAATCATCCTGATCATCTATATACTCATTTCCAAGGAACCCAAAACAAAATGTCACTGGAAAATGAAGATTAACCATGGGTTAAAAGCAGAAGGAGGGCTTTCTTTCATTACAAAAACTGGCCTCCAGACTGAAGTTTTAGCTCAGGTTTTCACCATCAGGCAGCACCTTATCTGACAGAGCATAATCTGAGCCACCTGAAACTAAGTCTTTCTCAATGGCTTCCCTTACCTTTTCTTACTTGTAAAACCCAGCCCGGGGCCCTGCTCCCCTTCCTCCATTGCAGAGGATGCTGGTGATAGTGCTTGGCCCAAACTGTTTTTATTCCCAGCCATCCCAGACTCGGGATTTTGTAACTATCCAAAAAGCAAATGAAGGGTGCTGCTAAAGGCGTTAGCAAGCACTCTAGCTGGTGATGCCCTGGGGCCAATGAAACCCTGACACGGTCTGTTTCTTTCCTGCTTTGAGACAGGAATTCATTTAACCAACTGGGTTAAGACAATCATGCAGCCTCTCGAAAGGCAGTGGGGTGTGAGGCAAAGAGCACCAGCTTATGGAGGCTTGAGTTTCTATCCTTCAATGGTCAAGTGGCCACAGAATCTGCTCATCTATAAAATGGGGAGAACAGTAGCACTACCTCCAGGGAGAGGGGGAAGAGGAGGGGGTGGGGTAGATGAGGAAAGCACCTTCTCAACCTGAGTCTTAAAGAAATTTAAGCTATTATTATAGCTGGTGTTTTTCAAAGAGGGCATCTTCAGACACACCCAGCCAATGTCAAGTGAATTTTTTAAAAAAGTTATCCTTTGCAAATATTTGCATTTCTATGTCAAACCCCAAAGCTTTAGAAATAATCTTTGAAATCCAACTTTACAAAATATTATTTCTGACTTTAAATAGGAAAAAAAGCCGAGAGCACATCTGAGCCAGAACTGAAGTGTTTTTGCCACATAAAGCCCCCACCCCCCCACTCTCAAGCCCTGAGGCCAATGAGAAAGACAGACTGTTTGTCAGTGACAGACATTTTCCAGGGGCACGGACAAACAAGAAGTTAGCTCTCCCCTGTTCTCTTTGAGGTCAGCATCAGTGAGCTGAGATATACAAGTGGTCCAGAAAACAGAAATCTTAATAAGACTGCAAGCTCCATGAGGACAGTGGCTGGTTGCTTATCTAAACTCTGTATCTCCCTCAGCAACTAGTACAGTGCTTTCCACCCACAGCAAGTCCTTTAATAAACATTTGTCTGGAGGAATATGTTGTTTTTAGCAACTTAGAAAAAAACACAGCTAGAAGCCTTAGAATTCATTTTTCCTTCTTCCAATTAGTGCACAGTTTTGACTCTGCATCTAGATTCACCAAATGAATGAAATTGTTTAAATCTCTATAAAAAATTAGTCTTATGCTGTATTTCCTGAATTAACTATAGTCATTGAAATCTATTGGTCCAACTTACTGCCAAGTAAACCCAAATCTGAAATGACAAAACTTAACAGGAGGAAATGAAACCAGTATGGGAGAGCCAATGCCCAAAGAATGATTTCCCATTTGGCAGCAAAGCAAAAAAGGGTATTTAGGATGGTTAAATTAGTTCTTCTATTATATCCAGAAGATGAGACTTGAGGAAGAAAGGGAATGAAAGGAAAAAATATATGGGGCTTCTGTTCCCTCCATTCTCTCACCCCCACATATGGAAAGAACAGGTCCAGAGTACCTTGTGGAACTTAATTGGGGGACACAGAAACTCAGTGTACTGGAGGACCCCAGAATTCCTAAGCTATGGGCTATGGGAGGAAGAAGGAGACCAATCAGCACAGCCACTGTAATCTAGAAATTATAGCAATAGGAGGTAAGTTAGGTGATGCCTATGTGTTTGTATTTTATTCAAAGTAATTCTGCAGCTTACGAACATTTTGATTCAGATTATATTTGGTTTAGACAGGTGACTTTTGCCTCCTATGCCCTAATACTTCACATAAAGAACCCAAGTTTTAAGAAACAAAAACCCCACACACTTACGAAGACAGCACTATAGCAACAGCATCATTAAGGACACTCTCCCCAAAGAGAAGCGCGTAGAGTTCAACGTCAACTTGAAGTTCGTGGAATATGGCGAGAACAGTCACTGACAAAGACAAGAATTTTTTAAGTTTTAAGAATGTTCATTATTGATACTCTTGCCACAACTGCTTTTCTTTTTCATAACGAGGACTTGGTTTTTGTTCTCAGAAATTCACTCCTTACTTCACGAAAAATTCTGAGACAATTTATAGCATAAATTTAGATGCATGCCAACATTTCCTTTTATATTATTACATCAAAAACACCATTCCCTTGATTGCACACAACAATTCCTTTTTCCATCTCCAAAGCAGCTTAAAATAAAAGGCTTGTGTTTTATGAATACTCAGGAGGACTGAGTATGACCATACAAAGAACATGAGTTTCAAACATATCTCTTCTTCAGTTTCTTTTCCATCTAGATCTTATTCAAAGCTTTGTCTTACACCAAGTAATCATCTCCTTTTCTACGTTGTAGAATATTGTTTGTATAGAGACAGAAACAGAGAAAGATAGATAAATACAGAGAGAGATAGGACAAGGCAGGTTTTTGGTTGGCATCAAAATCTTCCACCAAGGATAATGGCCAGGAAAACAGGTGGGCTGTTTACTATAACAAGAAGTCAACTCTACTGATTCATCGCTGCTTTGGGGCAAGAGGGAGGGAGGCAGGAAAGAAGTAACTCATCCACATTGAAAAAACTAGTTATATGGAAACCCTAGAGAAATAAGAGGAGACTGAAGTCATATGTATTATAACCTCCGCTGCTGAGTCACGCACGGCCCACTTGCTGCATAAACTAAGGCTACCATGAAAGATTAATGTCGTCCAAAAATGCTAGTGCCTCTTCCAAAGGCAACTAAAACTGAGAAGCAGGCATTTTGAAAAGACGCAATTTCCCTTGGAAAACACTTCAACTGGAACGTACAGATATCATAACAGCAAAGCAAAAGGATACAAGAGTAACTTCCAGAATATTAAACAGTAACCTATGGCTCTCCTCTCTCAAGGTGAGCTGCTGCAACATGACAAGGCTAGCCCCATGGGCCAAGGAAACGAGTGAGGAGAATGTCTATCTAGTTCAAGGGAGATTCAAGAAAAATGGGTTTTGTGTGAACCATCCAGCTAGCTACCTTTTTACAAGCAAAGTGAAAAAACTGGAGGTTGAAACAAGGCCAAACTGATCACCCTGAATAAGTAATCTGACTGCCTTAAGATTGTGAATAGTATGGGCAATTCTCTTTCATTAAGGGAGGCCTCGAAATCTGATAGCTTGCTGGCTCCTGGAAAGAACAACCAATCAAATGGCTGGCTGCAGAAAGCCATAAGGTTTGAGCCTCCTGGGCTAAGATAACTTTGTACTGACACCTGTACATATGAACATTAAGAAGAAAGCCCTGGAGATCTTTGAGAAAATCACTGGAGCTCCATCTTTAAATGCTAAATGATACCAACTGCTGGCCTCAAAACATATCCTGCCTGATTTTAATCCAAGGTCAGCTTGTACCAGAAAAAGGACACATTTTCTTCCTTCCCCATAAAGCCCATAGAGTTTCTCGGAGGTAACCTTAGGATTTACCACATACTGAGGCTTTAAGATAGTGAGAGAGCTCATTCACAAGGTCAAAAGGCAAAGGGGAAAAGCTTCTTCCAATGGAAACCAAAAGGTACAAGTTTCTGACTGGAGGAGTCAAAGCTTCAGCCTCTGTGCTTCCTGACTCCTTTATCCCTTGATGGAATGTAGCCGTCCGCCATACTGCCGCTGGAGGAGGAGAACTACAATCCCGTTTGCTCTAATTAAACTGACCCTGCAATAGGGTGGACTGCAAAGGCACAAGGGAAGCACTCCTCTCTGTATTAAACACCTCTCAGTAAGCATGAATCCAATCTTGGAGAAGCATTTTCTACCAGGCAAACAAAAGCCTCCCAACACAATTAAACTGTCCTCAGTAGAGTTAAAACTGTACCTGGTACAAATGACTTGCAACTGTCACCTCACATCCTTTGTTATTTAGAAACTCTAAAGCCAGAAGTTGCAATTGCAAAGATTTTAGGTGACTACTCTCCTAGGAATGTGGAAGAACTGTTTAGATGTCACCAATTTAATGAACATATTTAACCCAGTTCCTACTTTCAGGCAAAAAGACACGTACCACCATGAACGGTACTAGATAAAAAAAAGATCCTTTGAGTCCTAAATAGCATCCAATTTAATGGTCAATAAGGTACAAGTAAATCAATGTGTGTGCTTAAGCCACAGAGAATCCTAGACCATGGTTTTACTGCTTGGATTGAGAAAACCTACAAGAAAAAATGAAACGCATAAGCCACACTGCAAAAAAGGAAAGCAGGCACAGAATGCTGCTCCTAGAAGGCATACCTGGATCGGTTGCAGATACGATGGCACCAAACAACAAGCAGTCAGTGAAGTAGAAGTCACCACCCAGCTGTCCTGTTACTTTCATCAGGGTTACACAGCCATACATAATTGACCTGTTCGGTAAAAATATTTACAACTCAGACACACACAAACTGCTGCTCATTTAGAGAATTGAGAGGGGAAACCTAGCTGAATATCTTCTAGGTGATCTGGACTCTGAAAACATGTTGTCGCTAGGACATGGAAGCAATGATATTCTTTTGAGGTCTTTTGAGAAGCACGAGCGAATGCATAATTTAAAACATTGCATTGCAAACATTTCTAGACATATTCAGAGATACAATGATATACAAGACATATATGCACATACACACACAAACATATGTACATGTATGCATATATTACATATAGACAGATCTTGAAATCCAGGTTTCAAGGTTAAATATCTCAGGCTACAAATACTTACCCTATCACAAAACAAGAAATGGCTGTCCCAAGAAAAGCATATGCTAGGATTGACCCAAGGTTTCGGAAAAAATGTCTCTAAAAAAAACAAGGTCTCTGGTTACTCAATTTGCCCAACATTTGTAGGATATATACCAAATGGCTGACAACAAAAACTCGGGATTCAGGTGTTAATATACCACACATTATGGCTGTTATAAAAGGGATATGTCTAAAAAAGCAACGAAAAGAAAAAGATGAGAAGGGGCTGTAGAAAAGCTAGTCATTAGAAAGATTCCCAAGCACACATGCACAGGAAAGTCAACTGAATTCAAAACGCACTTCTTAGTAAGCACCTACTATGTACCATGCAAGTACAGAAGCACCTACCCGTTTCAGACTGTATCCCGCATAAAATATAATTGGAGGAAGTAATATATTGAAAAATACTTCAGGATCAAAAGTTACCTGTTTAAAAAGGGGGAAAAAAAGGTTTTGAGTTCTTCAAAATGAAAATATTTTGTAAGATCTCACACTAAGCACTCTGTAAATTATTAGAGCGATAAATTAAAAGCTTCTACTATTAAATGGTAAGAATGTCACTGTATTGCCACTTCCTCATTGAAACAAATAAAATTCTACAGAAAGAAACTAAGGAGCACAACATTGGCTGGTCTCCAACAGAGAAAACTTGAGAAGACATTAAGTTCAAAGGAACACTGTGACAAGCACTCAGTGGATTCTACTTTTATGGATACTTGGTTATTTTGCTGAGCAAAGGGCAGGAGATGGGAGAAGTCAAGGGAAACAGGGTGGGTAGGGATGGGGCAGGGGGAGGAGAAGAGAACTCCAGCAAATGTGACATAGAAAAGCTAGGTGCAAGGGGCAAGAGGCCAAGGTTGGAATGGGAAATGGAGGCAGAGGCAAGCAACTTCTGGAGTGTATGTGTGCTTGTGTATATGTGCACAGTGGCGAAGGGAAGAGGGGAGTGGCAGGAGAGTCTCAAGTCAGTCCCCAACAGAATCCATACACTCAATACTCTATCATGGGAACTGATGTGGCAGTACACGTGGTGAAATAAGTGCTGGAAAGATGGAATGCACATCCTTTCATCTCAGTAGAACTTAGCCTACGTTTCCAGACGTGATTGCTTTGCCAGTCAGTTGTATTTAACTGTTTTCCTTTGTTCCAAGGGAAGGTTCAATGTTGGAGGGAAGAAATATATCAGGAAATGACTGGTTTAAAAAAAGAGAGAGAACTGGATTTGAATCCCAGTTTTTGGCACTTACTGGCTATGTGATCTTGGGCGAGGCACTCCTTTAACATCTCTGAGCCTCAGTTTCCTCATCTGAAAAATGGGGCTAATATTCGTATACTACCTACCTCATAGGGTTGTTGGGAGGAGTGTTCTTTCACAAAATGTCAAGTGCTACAGCATGAGGAGTTATTATTTTTAAGCACCTTGAAGCATTGTAACAATTGAATCCAAAAAAGATTAAGTCAGAAAAGCAGGTTAGAAATATTTAGAACACTGGTCAGAACAGAAAACTTAATGAGTTAGACCTTAATCAGAAAATGAAATTTCCCAAGCCTTATAGTTAATCGACATTTTCCTGTGTATATTAAAAGAGTGCACTGAGTCTTTTCTAATGTGTTAAAGACATGGGTCATTTTTGCCTTCTGTATCACACTGCTGCTAGAATTTTTTTAAAAATCCAAAATATACTGACTAGAAGCTTACCTTCCTAAGCATTTCATTATCTTGAACGTTATTGAGTTCATGTGAACTGATCTCTCCTTTCAGTGTATATTCATAAAATTTTCCACTAACATTCACTAATAAGGTAGCCGGACTTGTCTGCATTTGACAGCTTAATGTCACATTATTAACATCACTCGGAACATGAACGCCATATCGAAGAACCAAGCCCACCAAAAGCCCTGGAATTTAAAAAGAGAGAATGCTGTAAGCTCCTTGTGGGCGTCAACCGGTTCCTTAAATCTCCTAAAAACTTCATTGGTTTTCAACACACACATACATACACACACACACACAAAATCAATAATGTTAGCCAAGCCTGAGCTTCTTAGAGTCAGTACTCAGACTGAAATACAAACATGTTTGAAATTACTGCTCAATTCCTAAGTCGGAGAACCTGACATCCTCATAAGAAGGGGATGGACAGATGGGTAATTTTCCCCAGTGTAATATCACAGATCACTAACCCCAATATTTCTAGAGCAGCATATAAGTAACAGAACAGGAAAATTACCTAATGAGAAAATATCTTACAAATCATCTTTTCATAGAATCCACTGCATGACTTCCCCATTTCATAGTGCAATCACATTAAAAATTAGTTTTCCGCCTCCACCCATGATTCATTTGACAGGTTCCCCCTTCCTATACTTGTACGTTTGTGGGATTTTTTTTTTCAGCCAAAATGTAGAAATTGACATTTATCCCTCTTAAATTTCATCCTGTTGGTTTCAGTTCATTGTTCCAGTCTGCAGAAGGAGAAATCAAGATTCAGATGCCCATGATGAGACATCTTACCACTCTGACATCAATCACGGCCAAAGCAGATTACATTTTCTAGTCTTTAAACACACACACACACACACACACACACACACACACACACACACACACACACACAAAACCCCTTGATCTGCCCATTTCTTTTAAGGCTGCTGAATTAGACCTCACCATCTCACAAGACATAGAGAACAGTCAGAAAAAGAGGCCCAATTCCTTATCTTTGTTGCCCTCTGAACAATCTTTAATGAATCATACTAAGTGACCCTTAGGTTGCCTGAAGCTTAAGGCAAAGGGGAATGTTCCTCCCCTGCCTTCAATCCTTTATATTACTATTCATAAGCAAACTGACATTCCTTATCATAGTGGAAGATCAACTTAAGGCTTAACTTAGCTTAACAATTTTTGGCTGTGATGATGCTGAATTCTTTAAGAAAGCTCGCTAGTAGCTGAACAAAATACTCAAATGCTTAGATTTCTAGGGTGTAATATGGACAATCAGTTGATATAAACTCTGTTTTTCAGAAAAAATACCCTTACTTTTTCAAGAGAAAAGCAAAGAGTTAAAGGGTCCCCCCCTTAAATAGTATTTCTAGAATTCAAACAGAAAAACTGACTTAAAGCTAGGGAGAAAAAAATCAGTGGGTTCAATCTTAAAATGTTGGAGGGTGGGCATGAAGAGAATAAAAGTGTCAGTAGTTAAGATGGTATGAGAGGTGAAAGAAAAAACTGGAAAAGATACTCAATTGGATTAAAAGAAAAACCCAAACCAAGCATACTGTGTGCTGTAACCTCTCATCCAGGCTCACACTAACCCTGTGACTGAGAAGTAGACAAATATCACTAATCTGAATTTTACATATTGAGAAACCTTGAGAGGTTAGAGAGTAATCAACTGTCAAGGGAGAATAGTCAGTAGAGAGCCCTACATTTGGAATGGACTCCTAAGGAGTCCCCAGCCCAGACTGGAAAATGACCCCTATCTTTTAAGGCCCAGACTAGGTGGCACCTCAGGGAGCCTTTCCTGAACCTGCCAGCAGGAGCTTCCCCTTCAGTTCTCCCAGGGCACTCTGGTCCTCTCCAATGCACTTCAGTACAAACTAGGAGGCTCTTTTTTTTACCTGCCTTCCATCCCCCTAAACTTTAAAAGGGTAAAAACCCAGCCCTATTCCTTCCTTCTCTCCTCCAGCTTTGTGTAACGCTTGTTGATGAAAATTGAATTAGGCAACACAAGAGGAAAAACGCCCCCTCCCAAAGCAGGGAGAGGAACAGAAGTCCTTTCCTTGCTTCTTACTGATTTTATGTCCTCAGCAAATGCAATAATTAATCCTTTCAACGGAAATTCTCTAGTTCTGTGAGCTTAACCATTTATCCATTTAGCAAAGGTTAACAGTGACCCATCTGGTTTTTTTTTTCTTTCTAATGCAACATTTTAAAACAATCAGAGAACGATTTTATGCTTGCAACATAAAACCGAGCCTTTAAAGCATTCCTTCCAGCCTAACCCAGGAAAATTCAGTCCTCCTAGGAAGAATTTTGCATTTGGCATATATAGCCTTATGTCACTGATATTTTGTGTGTGTGTCTTCATTCTGTCCTGTTAACTAGACTGCCTTACAGTTTTTGGTTATTTCCTGTGTTTAGCACACTGTAGGTACCCAACAAATGTTAATGATGATACAGAAGATTGAACATTATAGCATGATGTATAAATCCAGATATCTACATCATTTACTTGGATAAAAAGATTAAAAGTGAAAAGACATAAAATATGCAACATCTAATTTTATCCAAAAGCTAGGGAACATGGTAAACAGAGACTTAAAAAAAATCTTAGACTGCCCAATTTCTAATGCTTTATACATGACATTCACAGATCAGATCCCGCAGTGGGATCCTGTCCTCAAGAGTCTTTATAAAGGAAGAGATGCAAAAGTTAGCGAAGTTTCCAATCTAAGAAAATCATTACCTTACAAGTGAAAATGAGTTGGTGTGTGTGCATTTTTCTGAAACTCACAGAGAACTACCTTTTCTTATCCTCCTTGAGATACACACTCAGAGGTAAACATTTCATGAATGGAGTGGCTCTTCGGGAGCCAAAGTGTTCAACTGACTTCGAGTCTGAGGCAAAGGGGCAAACATTAGCGGGCTCCCTGCCACAAGCCACAAGTGAGGGGAAAAAAACAATCTCACCTGTATACTGTGCAGAAGGGATTATTTGTCGACAAGGATCTCTTCAGACATAAACAAAGACATGTATACGCAGTGATCACTCAGTGGAGTCATCTTTGATTAAGACAGTCAACAATACCTCTCTAGAGGCCCCAGTTTAGGAATGAGATGGATCTGTTTCTCCCAAGGGGGCCATTTGCCATTACTGCCCTCCTTACCCGTTAACCAAAAAGAAAACAGAAACGAAAAAAAGCCAGACTAGAAAGCCACTGAAACCACTCGTAAAGGGTTAATAATCTCATGACTGCAGATGTGTAGTGTTTATAATTAGTTTTAGATTAACCGTCTTGATCACTATGTAGTAACAACCATCCTGGGAAAACTTTTAACTCTTTCGTTAGCTGATCTGAACCCGAACCTCGGGCGTGGGATTCTAACAAATTCATACTAGAATGCAGCCAACAGGTTGTTAAGTACACACAGTCAATTGTTAGGGATCTACAGATCGGTTCCCCAAGGTCCCGCGGCTTTAAGTTTGACCACGCTAGGAGAGATAAAGATGTGCCCTTCGTCCGCCGCGAGGGCAGAGAGCCGAGTGGGTGCGAGAAGACAAGTAGAGGTCGAATCAGTTTTCCGGAGAACACCAAAAACTGACAAGGGGACTCCTCCAGCCCAGATCTCCACACAGGCAGGGAACCCCGACTCAATTTCAAAGAGGCTGCGATAGAGGCGCGTCTTCCCACCCCACCCTCCCCCATTACCCGGTTAGGCAGCCCTCCTCCCCGGGGTCCCCAAGAAGCCGCGATCCCGGGCCGGTCCCGGGCCGAGGGATGAGTCCCCTTTCCCAAAGGGAAGCGAGGCAGGAAAGGGAGAGCAAAGGGCAGGATGGGGAGCAAAGGGGTGGCACTTGCCGTAGATCATGGCCAGGCCAGTCTCGTGCAGGAAACGGGCCCGTCGGTGCTTGAAGAGCCATATGGTGAGGATGGTGAGGGTGAGGAGCAAGATGAAGATGAGCAGGTTGGCGCTGTCTTGCCGGTGGCTCGCCTCCGCCTGCTTCTCGGACACGATCTCCTCCTCCATGGCCCCTACGGCTCCGGCTCCGCCACCGTCCTGGGCACCCGCCCAGCCACAAGCGCCAACAGCCAACAAGAGCCAGAGAAGCCGCCCGCGCGCGGGGCTGCGGGAGCCCGAGCTGCCGCTGCCGCTGCCGCTGCCGCGCACGGGAACCCTCCGCCAGGCGCTCAGTGCCATGGTTTCCCCCAGCCCCAATGCCACCGCATCCGCCCCCCGAACCAGATGCCGTTTGTTGTCCCCGGCCACTCCCGAGGGCTCATGGGAAGAGGGGAGGAGACTCGGTAGAATCGGCCCAGCACAGGCTGGCCGAGCGACCGCCCACTCCTCGCGGCCAGAGCTCTTAAAGGGACCGCCACCGCATCGGCCCCCTACAGCCTTGAGTGGGAGGAAGGTCATGGAATCCAGCCCCCTGCCTCTGGGAAGGGCAGCATCTCGCCTATAGGCTCCATGCCCTATACTCCATGGATTAAGCACCCATTGTTTGGGTACCAGCCAGGCAAGAGCCACAGTGATATCATTTCCCTTACAGACCCCATGTACATGGAAAAGAGGCAGTGTGGACCAATAGACAGCAATTCTGGTTCTGGCCCAGCCTCCAACATTCCATTTGACCTTGGGCAAGTCCCTTCCCATCTATGGGTCTCAATTCCCTTCTCTGCAAAATGAGGACAAACAGGAAGATCATAGTGTCAGAGCTTAGAGGTCATCTAGTCCAACTGCCTCATTTTACAAAGGGGGAAACTGAGGCCTAGAGAAGGAAAATTACTTGCTCAAGGTCCTACATTTAGTAAATGAAAAAGTACTGTTATAACACATGCCCACTAACTCCACAACCCTATGATCCCTTCTAGCTATTATATTCAATCAATATTAAAAAGTTTCACTCCCCTGCTCCCCCCACCCCTGTGGAAATCCACAAATATACTTCCCTTCATTCAAAGAATTATATTGGAAAGCTCAAGATCTATTTCATGAACCCTCTAACAAGGAGAGCTATCTTGGAGTAATAACAATAGCTAACACAGGCTCTTAGGATCCGCTAGAAGGTGCCATAGAGACCATTGAGTCCAATGTCCTCATTTTATAGATGAAGCAACTGAAGTACACAGGGAGATTAAATGACCTGCCCAGTGTCACAGAGCTAATGAATATCTGAACCTAGTTATTCCAGATTCCATGTCCACTGCCGTATTCATCATCCCACACTGCCCCCTCAACATTATATAGTGCTTTAAATATATTATCTCATTTGATTGGAAGATAGTAGATTGACCCTAATGGGAGGTCTTTGGGAAGAAATGAGATAAGCAATTATCAGTGGATTCTTGTTTAGGCCCAGGTTGGACTAGATGGTCTCTCTGTCTCTCTGTCTCTGTCTCTCTCTCTCTCTCTCTCTCTCTCTCTCTCTCTCTCTCTCTCTCTCTCTTTTTGCCTTTTTGGTGAGGCAATCGGGGTTAAGTGACTTGCCCAGGGTCACACAGCTAGTAAGTGTCATGTGTCTGAGGTGGGATTTGAACTCAGGTCCTCCTGACTCCAAGGCCAGAGTTTATCCACTTTTCCACCTAGCTGCTCTAGATGGTCTCTCAAGATCCCTTTCAAACTCTGAGATTCTCTGATTTGCTCAAGGTCCCACTGATAGTAAGTGGCAGAACCAGGATTCAGAAAAGGTATTCAAGTTCTACATTCAGATCCTCTTTCCACTATATATAGAGTTCTCTACTAAAGGAGAAGAGACAGCTAGGTGGGCGCTGCACCTAGATAGATAGAAGGCAAGGCCTGGAGTCAGGAGGACTCATCTTTGTGAATTCAAATCCAGCTTCAGACATTTAGTAGCTGTGTGACCCTGGACAAGTCACTTAACCTCCTTTGCCTTGGTTTCCTCATCTGTAAAATGAGCTGAAGAAGGAAATGGCACACCACTCCAGTATCTCTGCCAAGAAAACCCCAAATGGGGTCACAAAGGGTTAAACATAACTGAAATGATTACAACAATAATGAACATAGTTGGAAAACCTTCTAGACAATCAAAGTAAGCTGAAATGCCAGTTTGATGCGGGGGGTGGGGTGGTGGGGGGAGTGTAGAAACCAACTAAAAAGTTACAACTGAGATAGTAAGTAACCTAGAAGAACTACAAAACAATTCAAGACAGAGAGTACCAAAACAGACCAAAAAGAAGGAGTTTCCTTTGAAATGTAGTCCAAGGTCTCTAGAAGAGAAGTAAGCTGGGAATGCAGTCAATTAGACAACTCGAAGTTCAAATGAGAACTAAGTCAGAGAGGAAAGAGCTTTCAGCTGTAAGCATAGGCAGCTGGATGGAACAATAGGCCTAGAGTCAGGAAGACTTCAAAGTCCAAATCCAGCCTCAGACACTCCCTAGCTATGAGACCTTAGGCAAGTCACATAAACACTGCCTGCTTCAGTTTCCCCAAGTGTAAAACAGAATCAAATGGGCTAATATGTGTAAAGAGCTTTGCAAATCTTAAAGCCCTATACAACTTATCAAGGGCTTTCACTGGGCTAAGTCCTGGGGATGCAAAGAGAAAAGTAAGCTAGTCCTTGCTCTCAGGAGCTCACAGTCGAATGGCAGGAAACAACTCAGATTCAGCAGCAAGGCAGATGAAAAAGTCCCGTGGTCCTTAGGGTGCAACAGCAATGCAGATGGTAATACTTCTCTAATGTCATTTCTACTAATAAAATATCAGTTTCTGATACTGAACCATTTGACAGGGCCAAGGACTTTGGAGGTAAGAATATTCCCTTCTGGGCCTTCAATATCTTTGTTATGTAGTCATTGCAGGGACAGTGGCCAGGCTGCATTTCACCAGGATTGCTTCCAAGGATGGTAGCTGAGGGCACTGAGCTGGAAGCATTGCTACTCCAAAGGCTCTTGGGTTCTGGGTCTTAGGATGTCTCTATCAGGGTATGAGGGGAGATGGCGGTCAAGGTGGGAGTGGATTTCACCTTCCTGGCACTTGCTGCCTCCTATCTCTTCCTCAGGGAGCCAGGCCGCTTTAGCTAGATTGACCTCCCTACCCTGTGTGGGGCAGTTCCTTGGCAGTTAGAGTGGATGACTGGTCCCTTCTCCACAGGGTTGCCTCCCAGGATAATTGTTGAGGGTTGGGCTGGAAGCAAGAATGGGGGGGGGGTGCTGCTACTCCCAGTACTCTTAAGCCTTCTGTTGGTGACATTTAGCAGCTGTTTCTGTTGGTGAAGAGGAAGGTGGGCCCCCTCTCTACAACAATTTCTCCCTTCAATAGTGGCTGTGGGGGCTGGGTTGGAAGCAGGTCTGGTGATTTGGAAGAGCATTGCCATTTCCAAGGCTCTTAGACCCAGGATCCTAGGCTGTCTCCATTAGGTGGTCAAAGTGATAGTAGGTAGTTTGACTTGCCTGGCATATGCCGTTTCCTTCTTCTCCTTCAGGGTGCCCGGCCATTGTTATTATTTTTTAGAATTATTATTATGTAGCCAGGAGTAGGAACAGACCCTACGTGAGTTCATGGCTAGGGGATAGAGAAAACTCACCTGGGGGAAGGAACAGTAAGAACAAGGGTATAGGCCAGAGGACTCCCAAAATCAGAAGTAAGGATTGAGGAAATGAATTCCTGAAGAAATTTAGCAAAATAAATGCACTGGCTTCAGAGTGAGAACTGGGAAAACTTGAGAAATTAAGTCTGAGAGCAAGATTAAAAGTAGGGAGTCAGAAATACAATTCCCAGGGCAGCTAGGTAGAACAGTGGATACAGCACCAGCCCTGAAGTCAGGAGGACCTGAGTTCAAATCCTGCCTCAGACACATAACACTTATTAGCTGTGTGACCCTGGGCAGGTCACTTAACCCCAATTGCCTCACTTAAAAAACAAACAAACAGAAATACAATTCCCGAAGACTGATGATGAAACATGTTTCCCACCTCCTGATGGAAAGGTGACAGACTCAGGGTGAAGAATGAGAGTTTTTTGGACATGGCCAATTTCAGAATTTGTTTTGCTTGACTATCCATGTTTATAACAGGGGTTTTGGTATTTCTTGCATTCTCAGTTGAGATTGGGGAGAGGTGGGAGGGAGAGAATGCAGACCTGAAAAGACAATGAAACGGAATTTTTAAAAAAGTTGGGGGACAGAGAGAAGGAAGTATTTAATAAGATATTTCTTGGTTCCAGTGAGCATGTAGGAAAGGAAATGTAAGGCCTCTGGCACGTGATAGCTCTTCGAATACTTGAAGTCGGCTCTCATTTTGTATTGCTATTATTATAATAAAGGACTAGACAAGGGCACACCAAGGGAGGTAAGTCTCCCCAGAATGAGAGGACAGTGTAGACCCTGTCAGGAGGCTGTACTTCTATTCTGGGTAGGGCCTTACTCAAACTAGTGCTCTGGCAATCTAGATTTGATATTGGAACAAAATGAAACACTCGAGTGTTGTTTCAGCAGTCAACAAAAGATTTACTTAGCCCTAGTGGAAGACACCACGTGGATTCAGCTGAGCTAAGTTTCTTTGCCTGGATTGCCCATTATTTTTCCCCAGCCAAGCATCAGAGCACACTTGAAGCAACTTTGGCTGCTTTTGCTCAGGTGACCAGAAAGTGACGTCACCATGCTGGGCCTTTAGTCCCCTGAGCCAATCAATCAAGTGTCAAGGATGAGTTCAATATTTTTTAAGGAAAAATGAGTCTAACTTCCATAGAAGCAGGGTTAGATATTTCTTCCACTACAACTTTCTATAATCTATTCACTTTAACGAAACAGATTGTAATCCATTCATATCTGTCCATCCCATGAGATTCTTGTCATGTCCTCTTGTAAGTTTGCATAGATCCATCATGCTGAGGGCCTTCTTTCAGTTCTCCTGACATCACAAAGGTACCAGTAGAACTCTCGGGCTATCAGTTATTTCTCCCTCTTGCCACACGGCCAGCCCATCTTCCTTTAAAACCATACATTTCTTTGAAGATATCCTTTACACTACTTTTCCTGCCTAATTTTTTGTAATGTCTTTTTTGCTATTGCTCTTTGGATGGTCCTTAACTTCAGTTCTATAAAGACTAGATTGTTCCATGACTCCAAGCCACATGACACCACCAGAAGAATGTTGGCATTTTTTAAAAAAAGAGGTCTTTATTTCATAGAGAAAGTTGAGATCTGCAAAAGGATTTTTCCCAGTTTTGAAGGTATCTGAAGTGGGAGAAGATACCAAAGGTGTAAAAAAAACCCTCATATATTACTACTACCAAAAAAAAAAAAA